GCCGCCCCCCTACAGTGAAAATCCCCCCCAAAAAAAAAAAAAAAGAAAAAAAACACATAGGGTGCTATCTCATTTAATTTCATATAGCATTCTTTCTTTGAACTGAATCATTAGCATCCTGTTTGTAGAAAAGCCTCATAGTGTTCAAAAAATATAAGTAAAAATGAGTATCTACACAAGATGGCATGAAGGCATATTTTGAAAATGTTATTTTGTAAATAGATAATTCATTTGCATGGTTTCAAAATCAAAAAAAAATTTTAAACGTCTCGAGCTATTAGCCCCACTCCTCAGCCACACAGATCTGTCCCTTACCATACATAATCATTGTTTTGTGTGTGTATTTGTTTGCATATTTTTTCAGGATTCCTAAAACAGAAAGGTTATATATTAATATTTCATTTTCTCACCCTCTATACACAAAATGTAGTATACTGTACAAATCTATTTTCACTCTGATTTTCTTTTTTCATTTAATGAGAAAATTTCTTACATCAAAGTCAATTTGAAACTGATTGCTATAAGTTGTCATTATTTCCAAGTGACTGCTAGGAGGCCACACGGCTTTTGCTTTAGTGATGGGTTCCTTTCACGACAATAACCTCTTTTAGTGAAGACACTTTGGGGGCCTCAAAAGAAGTTTAATGTTGGAACAAACATGATGGTAATCTTCACTGTAACATGTAATCTTAATAATGTCATACTCATTAGAAAGGAAGTAATGGCATTTTTAGATGTTAAAATGCTCATTTAGACAGGGCCAGCAATTCAAAATTGATCTTTGCTCTAACACTGTCTCTGGCCTTCACAAACCCTTAATTTAATAGCTCATTTTCCTACATTACATGACTTAGCTCTTTTGCTGATTTTCTTTTCATGAGCAGTAAATATATTAGCATGCAGTAAAGATAGTCATTTGGGAAGATCTATTTGACAATTAATAATTATTAATTATTTTGTTAATGAAGAAAAGAAATTCTGACTTTTTAAAAAAAACTTAGACAAATGAAATAAGAGAGAGGTTTACTTATGAATAAATTTAAAGGCCTGCTTTAAAAGATCCTAAATATTAGAGAGTGAGCAGCAGCTGAGGTATGAAGTAGCATTCTCTATTATAATGATGACATGAGAGAATGCAGAGATCTTAATTGCACTCAATTATACATACGCATACTAAAGTGGATAATTAATATAGATGTATTTCATCTATTACATAATTTTGCATTAAGCTTTCTTGTGATTTTCTTTCCGGCAATGCAGTATTCCCTGACTAAAAATATAGAGGGATAATGTTAGTCATAATGGGTGTGTTTTTTTTTGTTTGTTTGTTTGTTTTTTTGAGAGGTGGTTTTTGCTGTAGGGTGCATGGGCTTGCCAGAAAGACCGAGAAAGATGGAGAGACATAAAGTGAGAAGTCACACCCCAGCGGGGATGGCCACACCGCAATCCCTTCTCCTCCATTCTCCTCTCGGGATCTTGGGCACGCACACACATGCACCTGGTGTGAGTTTAAGCCACTGCTTCTCCTCCATTCTCCTCTTGGGATCTTGAGCACGCACACACATGCGCCTGGTGTGAGTTTAAGCCACTGCGTCCAGGACTCAAACCACGGTCGATTATATGGGAGTCCAGTAACATAGCCATTACGTCACCCGCTGGTCCCAGTGTTTTTCAATCTGTGAGGTTTCTATTACCTAAATGTCTTTAAGGTTGAAGAGCAACACAGTGTGAATGCATCCAGAAGCACAATGCGTGTGGGCACAGTGATCTCCTTGCTGTTGACATTACCTTATGTGGACAGCACTGGATGTTCTGTTTACATGTCACTCCAATGACAATTTCGACAACCTTTAATGTCATCTAATCAATCATCTGCTACCCGCACAACACCACACTATGCATTTTTACTAGCATTTTCTTAAGTTTAATTCTCACAGCAGCACTCAGAATATTGATATTTTCTTCACTGCATAGATACAGAAACGGAAGCCATGAGTGGCTAAGGAATACGTCCCAGATTCACACAGTTGGCAAGCTGTACAGCTGAGAGTTCATCGAAAGGCTATCTGACTCAAAAGCCACTGCCTCTACCCTGAGACTTCTCAGTTATTGGGGGAATGTGGAAGACAAAGGTATAACTGATACCACGAACACAATTGATCCACCATGAAGCTGAATGCTTATTCTGGACAAAGCTACATTTGCTGGTGTAGAGCCTTCCCAGACTTCAATCTCAGTCTTCTCCCACTTTCCAGACTCGCCTGTACAGTACTATGTCAGGGAAGGGAAGGTTTTTTTCTATCTCCTCAGGTCACTGGACCTCGATCATGAAAAAGCTGCTCAGAGATCCTAACGCCAGCAGCAACCCTTCCATACTGACTAAGCCAGCTGAGTACAGAAGGCTGGCACACTGATCAGCACAACCACATAACTGCTTGCCCATTGACTACTCATGTCTCTTTACCTGTACGATCTTGGCGTGAGCAACTTTGTCAGTCTTGCACTATTTCTGAAATAAGGAGATCCCATCCTCTTTGTTCATAGATTGGGAGCTGCAAGAATTAAATACTCAAATGTATAGACTGATAGTCCAACCAAGAGAGTAAGTGCTCACTAGAAGGACTTCTAAAGTCCCTCTGTTTTAGCATATGAAAAATGGACACCCATCTGTTTACAGCAGCTCCTGGCTGGGCCATTCTGGTTTTATTTCTGATGAGCCCCGGGCGGAAGATGAAGTCTCCTAACAGTATTGTCAGGGCCACAGAGCTCTCAGCAGGGATTGGCTCACCTCGCAGGGTTACCCTAAGGGAAACTTAAACCAAAACCAGGCTTATTGTCCCTCTTTTTCTCCTCTCCCTAGCCAATAAAAATATAGGTTTATGCAGGTAAAACATACCAAGATGAATCTCAAATAACCAGAAAAACTATCTGTAGCTTATACTGGCCTGGATGATGAGATTTACATGGAGAAATGAAGGCTTCAACATATTTTGCATTAAGTAGAGTAGCTACTTTTAATTCCCTGCCGCCTCCTGTTTCCAAGTCACTGCACCTTGTGGCCTTATAAGTCGTAGGAACCTCGCATGCCTTACCCTAGTGGTATCTCTTAAGAGGGGACTAAAAATAATCTGGAGGGTTGTCCACTTAATCTTTCACTCATACGTAACTGTCAAAGACAGTTTCACGAAGTCTGTGATTTGGGGATATTACAGGGTGAATGGGCAAAATGGTGTCCTTGAGGATAATAGAAGTACTTACTGTGAGGGACCAGCAGTTAGCATAATGGCTATGTCACTGGACTCCCATGTAATCGACTGCGATTCAAGTCCTGGACCCGGTGACTTAAACTCGTGTTGGGCACGCATGCATGGTGCTCAGATTCCGAGAGGAGAATGGAGGAGAAGGGATTGTGGTGTGGCCATGCCCCCTGGGAGGTGATTTTCTCGCTTTCTGTCTCTCTGTCTCTGTCTCTGTTTTACTGGCAAGCATATGCGCCCTATGGGAAAAAAACCTCTCAAAAAAAAAAAAAAGAAGTACTGTCAGTCATTGTGAAGCACACTACAGTAGAGTCTTCTGCGTGTGCTGAGGCCAGAAGCCTCCTAGACCTTCAGTTCGCAAGCAGTGGCAACAGTGGAGCCAGGACAGAGCCTCCAAATATGCCAGTGTGGTTCCGCCTCTATCTGCCCCACGCAGATGCCAGCCGCGCTTGCCAGGTCTGCTGTGACAGATGGCAGGGATGAAGTGAGACGCCGGCAATGATTCATGCTCCCAGGTGGTGGTACAGTCAGCATCTGCATCAAGTGACAAAGCACCGGGCACAGACACAACGCTACCAGGATATTCCAGGGTCACCTGGAGTTTGGTATCCGATTGTCCATTTCCCTCTTCCTTTCTGATCTCGGAAGTCGCCAAGTTCTGAGACTGAGCCATATTTGAGATTCTGCTCCATGCAGAATTTTCTTTCAATCACAGTCATTTTACATTAGGTCCACAGATTGACACTGAAGCTGAGATTATGGAGTCTTGGTTATCCATTATGCATGGGTATACATTTTTGCTGTTTCATTACCATCCAACTCCAGTCTTTATGTATAGGATCAATTCTGAAGGATTTGGTAAACATAAGCTAAAATTGTTATAT